ATATCAATAAATAATACATCTGGTAGAATATTAATAATTTCACTGAACTCCGATCCAGAAACCCCACGGCATTCTGGGGGATTTAGGCAGCGGTTGGTGGAATCAACCGACTTCTTTGGTTACCTAGCAACACCCTGCTGACTAACTTGTGGTTGCCTAGCAACGACCTGCTAAGTAACTTTCGCAGCGGCAGTTTAATGTTTCGCCACTGTGTCTCATAACTGCTTAAAAATAAAAAACAATGGAGTGCAGTAGAAACTGGATTAAATGGAAAAGGTCACACCACCAGAGGGCAGTATTTCAGATATTTAAAACACAAAACCAGTCAATAATTATTGACATCGACTGATCTGAAATGCTTATGTTGTGATACGCTTTTACAGCCATTTTGTCCAGCCCTAATATAATTATTCAATACTTATTATGACCCTTTTGTTTTCTAATAGCACTGATATCATTGATTGTGGGTCAATGGCTTGTAGGTTGAGATTAAACCTAATAAATCAGGGTTTTTCCAACAAAGTTGTACCAGTTCAAGAGCAGAGGGTGTTTTTTTTGTTAGAGCAGATTTTTAATTGGTTCTTTATAAATAGCTCTTACAAAAGCAGCAGCTGCTTTGTTTCTCTGTAGCATAAACTGGCTTAATGAGGCATAATCCCTGGCAGTTAAAAATGTCTTAATTTGTATCTGAGAATGTAAACGCTGACACTAAAAACAAAAGCCTGTGCTGCACTTAATCCTTTTTATTACTTCTGCTAATGTTTGGTGATTTTCACTCATTAGAATGTCAGAAATGAACAATGATCATAGTTCAACGTGAGTTTAGAGGTGGTTTGCAAACTTAAAGGAGCAGTTCTTCTTTTGCGTAACTTCAAGATAAAAAAATTTAATCTTTAGGAGTTTAAATTGAGAGATGATTGCAATAAATATTCACCCATTCAGAAAAACCAATATTTGGTTCAGGATATTTTTAAAGTTAGATTTCTGCCATGCTAATCTGATTTGAACTTGGGCTCTGCAGTGGAAATGGAGGCTTGAAAGTGTTTGTAAAATCTAGATTGAAGTCTTCAGGATTGTGGTGTGAACTGGGGTTTTCTAAATAATCAAGATTTTATCTCAAATATTCTCATTTGCATCACCTGTTTATATTAGCTCAAATTGTAGCATTTTTTCCAGGTTTAAACTGCAACATGGCGACGACAGCCACAAAAACCGCCATAAAATCATGTGAGAAATTAATGCTGAAGGATGCTAGGTGCTAGCTGTGCTAACGCTAAAAACTAACGGTATAAAATGTTGCGTTTGAGAGCAGATCTATCTATCTATCTTAAAAATGAAGACAACTTCTGAATGATAGATATTAAAACAACCAAATTATTTATTTTATGTTTTGAGAAATGAAATCACTTTCCTCTTGATTGGTGGAAGGTAGAGAGAAATTCTTCTGTAAATGAGAGTGGGAAAAGTAGAGAGTTTAAAATCATATTGAAGTTACAGTTTGGGCGACATATGAGGATACTAAATATTCTGCAGTTTGAAAAGTGTTTTGTTGATATGAGTGAGAATATTTAGATTAGAGTTTGAAATATGCAACAAAATAAAGACAAACTTGTTTTTCTTCTGAGTAAACAACATTTCCACTGTCCTTCCTGCTCAGTTGAAAACAAGCTTAAACGAAAATATGCAATTAATTAGGATGATTTACAAACACGTTGGAGCTTTTAGTTCAGGACAAAGTCGAACGGTTCCTGTAAATCCAGTGTAGGTCATAAATGCACGATGGTTGGGTGAAGCGGCTCAACATGCATGTTTCTGCTACATGTTGGCAGCCAGCTCACCTGCAGCGTCTGCGTCAGAAGGTACTGTTGCTCTGTGGATGTTACAGCCGAATCAAACCTGGCAGCGTTTCAGTGATGAAACTGCAGGAGGCCGGCGAAACTCCACATCTGGTTCTGGTTCTTTAAGACAAGGAGGCGCCACAGAGCTGTCTCAAAGTGGAAGAAACTTTACAGATTACTTATAAAATCTGGAAACATAAGGGACAAATGCATCTGAGTATAATTAGATGACTGCAAAAACGTCTGTTAATTATAATTCAAGAAAATGGGCATCCAGTAAATACTTGATATTGTAACAATCATAATTTTTGACTAATTGCATCTAGACTTTTCTCTGAGGATACAAGATAAGTTGTTGAGCATCTTGAATTTTTTCCACGCTGCAAAAACACCAAATCTTACCAAGTATTTTAGGTTCTGGTGCAAATATCTTATTTTTTTCCACCAATATCAGGGCGTTATTTACTTGAAGCAAGCTACTATATCTGATAATTTACTTTTAAATTAGTGTGGTCTCAATTAAAGTTTACTAAGATATTTGCACTGTAAACAAAACTCAAAATACTTGATAAGATTTGGTGGTTTTGCAGTGCAAAATGTATGTAAGTAAAAGAATGAAGTCGAGTTTGTGTTCTTAAAAGTGAATAACATTTATTCTGTCCTGTAATGAAATAATATGCAAAACAAACCTTTTTTTTCCTCAAGAACTACCACTATTGACTTTTTTTTATAATGTTCACATGGCCTCATTTGTGTGTGGTTCATATAAAATTAAATGCAAACAAAGATTTTATTTTTAAAAGCAAGAATTATACACATAAGGTGCATATTTAGTGCTCAAAATGTGAACTATGATGAGGTGTCACTGGAAATAATCAAAATTTGGTCTCAGTTTATTCATGAGTGCAACGCTAAAGGAAAAAATATTTCTATAAACATGTATAATTAACATTGTAAGACTGTAACTTGATGAGTTGAATTAACTATAGACTGAGTGGTTTAAATATGCCTCCTTTTGATGTTAATTTCATGTATACAAATAAGATTTGAGTAAAACCCGATGCCTGTGAAATTTATTCAGTCGACTTCTTGAAAGTCTTCAAACCAACGCATGCAGACATAGTGTTACTAATTCATTTCATGAAAACATTTTTTTACAAAAACACCTTTTTTAGGGAAAACAGATCGTCTCTGCATGTTGACCTGCAAACTGTAAGCTAGCAAACACACACATCACTTCTGACAGGGGGGAATAAAAACAACATATTGCTTCTCTTCTGTGTCCAAGCAATGAAACGACTCCATACACACAGGCAGTCCAACATGCATTTCTCTGCAGCTTGTTGACGTTGACCATATGTTCCTAGATCCATCCGGCTACCTACAGCAGCTGCTTAAAAACGGGCTGTAAATATTGCTTTTTGAACATAAACGTCACGCTGAAATCTCGCTGCTTTTCAGTGATAAAGTGATAAAACTGCAGGAAGCTGGACATCTGGTTCTGGTTCTGGTTCTCTGAGTAGCTGTGTTTCCATTAACTTTAAAATTGCACAAATTATGATTATGAAGGTAAATTTGTCTAATGGAAAGGGTAAATAAAAAACACACGTTTTTTGATAAGATTTTGCGATAGGACAGGGAAGTTTTTCAGCTGTATTTAAATTAATGTAACACAACGGAAACAGTTTTTTTTTGCATCACAAGTGACTGACAACCAGATGTTACTACTGGCGAAAACATTGAAGATGATGACAGGAAGTGGTGGGAGGATGATGGCGCTACATGTTTTTTAGTGGTTTGTCATTTGAACAAACATTTTCCTGTGTGATTTTATTTGTTTATTATTTAATGGAAACACCACAATTGAGAAACTGTGTTTTTCAACATTAGCGGAATTTCAACAGTTTTACTCACATTTGTAATGGAAACACAGATACTGTTCAATTGGGGACTAAAATTGCAGCAGTTGTTGCATTTTCAACTGGTGCGGTTTGCTTTCATACTGCTTTGTGTCAAATTATCCAAATCAACTGAAAAACCTGTTCCCCTCCTCGCCTGTGGTGGCACTGCACCAAGAACTACTGAAGGAAACAACAACAAAAACCTCAGAAGAAGACTACAGCAACTTCTTTCTTTATAAAACGTAAACAAAAATGGAATAGCGCCAGCAATTAATCACTTAATCACATGATAAATTAAAATGAGCTCAATAATTTCCATTCCGATGATTAATATTTTTTTTAAAGGTAATTTTGTTTACAGAGGATTTGGTTGAATCTGTTTTTTAACTTTCATTTTATTTATTATTTTTGGTCATATTTTATTTTGGATATTTAAACTAAAGTTTATTGATCTTTAAAGGAATGAACTTGAATTATTATTCCATTATCAGTATATTACTTGAAATTTATCTGAAAACAACAATATTATAGTTTATCGTAATAATTACTAGGACAGTTTATCATCCAGCAGAATCTGTCATCATGATAGGGTTAAGTAAAACCCTGGTAAAAGACCACGATTCATTTCACCTGTTAGCGCTAGGCTAACGCATTTGTTTTGGTTTTATTTACCCAGAATTCCCTGCGCCATAGTCCACATTCTGCTTTTAGAGCGGTCTCTGGTCCGCTTGGAGTTCACATATCCATCAGAATCACCAAAGTTAATTTGAATCAAACTGAGACGTAGGTGTTTATACAAACCAGAATTCACTTTTTTGGTTTCACATTCACACTGCCCTAAACAAACTGGACTTTCTAAACGAACTAGAGTCCAATTAAAATGGACTGAACTTTTCACCCTAAAAAGCTAATTCTTTCCAGTCTTTTGTGGGATTTGTTTCTGCTGGTCAGGTAGGTGTATGTTTTTTGTAAGTCCTTGTCTTCCCTTCTCCCCTTACGTAAAAAAAAAGAATCTGATTATTTTTAATCAATGACCTGAGGTCTGATTTGTCAGCGTGAAAACAAATGAACTCCAAACAGCAATTACCTTCCTCTAAAGAGAACATTCGATCTGTGTTTAATAGTAAACACATTGAGGTCGCGAGGCCCGGCTCTCTGCTTCTGCTCTGCCTGTCTCTTCCCCTCTGCTTGCATGTCTGACAGAGTCTCCTTCTCCCTGCTGTGTGCGTAGCTAATAGAGCTATTTCCCCTGTAATTACAGCGGGTCAGACCCAAAGACAGCAGAAGCCTAGTGTCCCCCCTCTCCTCTCCATCACCTTCCAGATTACAGGTAGGTGATTTTAGCCATGCTGAATATGAAGCCTGACCCGTCATCGTCACTCCCAGACCCAGTTTCCTGCTTCTATCATCTCCTTTTTATCCTTTTTTTCTCTCTTGGCTGCAGTTTTTCCTCCTTTTCTCCTTGAGTTTCCTCTTGGCCTCCTCTCTTCTCACCACGGATCACCCACCACTTCTAATTCTCCTACATATTTGCTCTGTTTTCTCACTTTTCCTCTTAACCATCTCTCCCATTTAAGAAATAATGAAGCAAACTAGGGCTGTTGCGATTAATCGGATTAATTGTGATTAATCACATTAATCATGATTAATTGATTATTGTAATACTTGTCAACTAATGTAGCAATCGATTAATCGTTCACTGGAGTATATAAACTCTAAAGATTCAAAAAGGCCTTTATTGGAAGGACAACACCCTAATCGGATTGATCTGATTACTTGGATTAATCATGATTAGTCAATTATAGTAACATTTGTTAACTAATGTCTTCATCGATTAATCGTTTGCTGGAATTTACAGACTCTAAATATTCTAAAACATGCCATTTACTGAGAGAACACCATTCTGAATAATCTGATTAATTGTTATTAATCAGATTAATCAATTATAGTAATATTTATTAATTAATTTAGTAATAGATTAATAATTTACTGGAGTATGCAGGCTATAAAGACTATAATACATGCCATTTACTGAGAGTACAACACCCTAATCTGATTCAGATATAAGTTTAAAAAATGTATCTTAATTCAAAAGAATGTCTAAAGTAGCGAAGCTGAAGTTTAACTTATTGAGAAAATGCTAATGCTAATCCCATGCTAACTGCAGCAGGATATCCTCTTATGACAGACTTCACTTTAACAAGAAATTACTTCATGTTTTATTACTTATTAGATCTTGTGCCATGAGATTTTATTACACAACTGTGTAAAATTTAATCAGGTAAGACAAAATACCTGCACAGGTTGGAATAAAACAGCTCTGGATTGATTAAAATGTCGAGCCAAGTTGGTGTAATGGCTTTGATACAGTAACAAGCAAACCATAGATTGGGTAGAAGAAACAACCAACTAAGAGTATCTCTTTTTTTTATTTACTTGCATTGATGGGAAAAAAAGTCTTTACTTTTTTGTTTTTCATTTTTCTTCCCACTAAAGGTCGGATAATTTGTCACCGAATTTAATCCTCTTCCTCTTCTGTTATCATTCTGTCTTCTTCTAAGCTTTTCCTTTTTTACTGCTCTCTCTTTTCCTTGTTTCCTCTCTGCCCTTGTAATCTTTCCACTCTCCGATATTCTCCACTTCGGTTGTCTTCTTGTGTTTTTACCACGACTTCTTCCTATTTGATGCGTTTTTTTCCCACTGTTTGAACACAGCATCGTTTCGCAAACAAAAAGAAAACTATTGATTTCAGCAGAGCTTCAGAAGCGCTCAGTGTAGCTGCGATTCTTTTCAATTTCCAATAACTTTGAAACATTTTAATTTCAGGAGAGTTACAACCTCAAACTGGAGTTTTTCACTCAATCTGAGCACTGAATTTTGCTACAACAACGTTCTTCATTGTGTTTAAAACGGAGGAGTTGGAACTGCAGAGAGACTGAAGAAGGAAAAACTTTGTTCGCACACAAACAGAATATAGATGCAAAGTGTTGGTGAGCCACAGATGCAGGAGGGATTCCTGTGGAGTGCTGTCAGTTTTATCTCACAGGAGAGCGAACTACAAATGGACTTACATACAAGCAGAGAACAGGGATGTTTCATTTCTTCACTTCAACACTAGTATTATGTTGGTCTTCTGTTTAATATTCACCATTGTAAAGATTGAAGTGAGTGATTCCCCAGTAATGCATGGATTAACAGAGGATCAACAAAGTTAGTATGTGACTTTCAGCATGGTTCTTACTGGGAATTAGACATTTTGCATTTCAAAAGCCTGTCGTCTCTCCACAGTTCTCAGGGAACGATGGTTCAGACTTTAAGCTCTTAGATGTCTTGTTGAAACAGTTGGAGATGCTTTTACTGTACGACTACCTACATAAGGAGCGTACGGTGCCCCCTAGAGGACATGGGGGATTTTTTTCTTTTTGCATTACCAAATGTATTGCGTTCCCTCACAGTAATGCACTGGTTAGTTCATGCGGCATAATTGAGTCTTTCTGCTATAGAGGGATTATCAGTTGACGTCACTTTGTGTCAGCAGCTACTCTACTGCACATGTTGCCTTCAAAACGCAACTAAAAGTGAATTATTCTAACTACTAAAACTATTTACAATTAGGCTAATAAAATCATTTACAACTCGCAGCCCCTCTAATTGTGAACAAACTAAGAAATAACTTTATTTGTCCTTTGCACGCTAAATATTACTTCATTTTTTTACCGTGAACAAAATTGCTAGCAAGTTAATATCTGGCGTTTGGGGCCATTTACTCTCATCATTCATCAATTCACCTGCTTTTAATGCTTACGGGTCCTAAACACGCATCTCATTGATTCATGAGATAAACTTCATTCATTCATAAACTTATTTTATCATGATGTGATAAACAGTCGTAGTCCACTGACTGACAGTATGCTAACTAATATTAAAACAGCAAGAATAATCGATTAAACCAGCAGGTCTTTGTGTAGTCAAGTTAAATATAAGGTTTTTGTAAGTTTTGCTTCCATCTATGTTAGTGTCTCGTTTGTGAGATATTTCAAGTTTTATATCAGTTTCTTATGAATAGAAATGCACCACAAACCTATGTGCAAAATGCAAAAGCAAAACAGGTCAATCATGGGATTTCCGTCTCTTCTAAGACATAAACAGAAACCAAATAAAAAAAATCCAGACTATTTGGAGTTTTTTTTGTGACTTATTTTCACAGGATAATAAAGTAATCTGACAGTTTTGATTGTGTCTTTTTTTCTGTTGGTAATCTGATTAATAAAGTTTTCATATCCAGTCCCATCTCAACCTTACACAAACAAACATGAACACGCAGTAATAGAGGGATTTTCAATCTGGTTTTTTGCACCAGAGTTAAGAATGTAGGAACTTGTGTCTTTAAAGGTATTTGCCATTTTAAATTGCCATTTGTGACCGTATACCAAATAAACCAGGGTGTGTTTGCTTATTTATTGCAAGGGACCACAAAAGAAAAAAAAATCCCCCATGTCTCCAAGGGGCTCCATAAATAAAGATATTTAAACTTTTTTTGTGTATATTCACACAGTGGCTGATGCCTTCAGACATTGGCTTTATGTGAGTTGAATTCCCTTTTAGTGTCCTGGTTTACAGAACAGATGGTGTCAATTCATGCTGTTTTGTTTTCCTCTGAGGCTTGTAATTAAAATAAAACACGTCTTTTCACAGTAGCAGGTGCTGATGAGGACCTGAGATGTCACGAGTTGATTGCAGGCACTTATTTCAAAGTTGCTGTGATTATTTCAGAGAAAATGACAGGATGTTTATTAAAGTGTCTTGTAAAATAATTTGGACAGCATAGTCATTTTCTGGTTTGACAAACAGCAAAAGCTTATGTATGTTAACGGCGTCGGGAAAAGTGCCGCAGGATAAGTTTGCCAACTGTTGACACTTTGCCCGTGACGTCACGCTCTCAGAACTCCGCCCACTCCGCCATGACGGACGTCAAAACAACCGACGCTTCCTTTGAAGCTGGTCTAAAAACAGAAATCTGTAGCCTAATATCGCTCCCATTTAGGTGATTTCTCTTCAGAGATGGTCATAGAGTGCTGCATGGTCGGCTGCAGAAAAACAAGGATGCAAACCAAACTTATTTTATTTTATAATTTTAATGAGGAAAGATGCGTCGGCATAGCAGGGCGTTAATTATAATGACTGTCAGCCTTCGATGTAACGCGGATTTCCAGCCAACACGTTTTAAAAGGTAAGATTAACGTTCATATACTTTATAAGTAAATATGATTAGAAAGATATAAAATAAGGCATTTTGGGGAAGGTACACGTCTAACCGTTGGTAACCATGGAGACAGTGCCGCACCGTCATGTAGCCTAGCATGTATGGGGGAAAAAAACTTGTTAGCATTTCGTCTTTTGTACGTTTTTAATGTTGCTCCCATGTAAGAATCACATGCTGTTTATGACATGGTGACCGAAGTCATGTGGGGTGAATTAAGGTGGGTGGAGGTATGGGTCCCACCTGACGTGCTTCTAAGCTAGCTGTTTCTAACTTCCCCCGTCTATAAGCCCCAACCAGGTGTGTTACGTTCATAAACAAATTAGCTCGACTCCAACAAGTAGAAGCCACGAATAAACTGGCAAAAACAACTTGGGAAGACAATTTCAGTCGTTTTGTTCAATACTGCCAATCCTCATTTTCGACGTCCGTCATGGCGTCTCGAATGATTAAGTGACGTATTACAAAGGGCCAGTAGGGAAAAACTTACGGAAGGAAACATAAAATGTACATTGGTTATACAGTTTGAAGACCATCTATATTCCAGAAAACCACAAAACCTTACCAAGTATTTTTGGTCTAGTTTGTAATGCAATTATTTTGTTAAACGTGAAATAAAAGAAAACTTCAGAAAAATATTGGAGCTTGCTTGGTTTAAGTAAACGATTCCTTAATATTGATTCCAAAAAATACTAGTTCCATTATTTCACTTATAAAAAGACGTTTTTTCCTATGTTAAAAGTGAAATAATCTGTCAGTGTAACTCATACTTTTACATCAATATTAAGGAATTGTTGACTTAAAACAAGCTCCAATATGTTTCTGAAATGTTACTTGTAAATTAATTTCATCTTATGTTGAGTGTACTGAGGTATCTGAAGACAAAAATTCATTGTAACATTTTGTGTTTTTGCAGTCTAGCAAATGCCACACTTAAGTGTAATATATTCTGCCTCAGATATTTATGGCATGTTTGTTTAACCAATTTAGTGGAAATGTTCTAAAAGTATATAAAAAATCATTTAGCACAGCTGGAGATTTGAAATGTTTTTTTTTTTTTCTAAAATCATAATGTTTTGTTTCCAGGCAACATGAGCTGAAGCAAAGGTGTAGTTCTGCTTCTGCAGCATCAGATAAACTTGTGAGGATATCTGATAAAGAAGCATAGTTGGTTTTCAGCAAAGAACCTTTAATCCCACCTACCTCAAAACGGCTGCTTAAATGTCAGGTTTGCTTGACACTCCTGCACCAAACAACCTTATTTTCTTTTCTCTCTCAATGGAAGATTGAAGATCATGTGTGTGGGAATCAGTATCGGGACATTTTGCTATAGATACCATTTTGTAAGTCACCTGAAACTCCTCCTTTTCTCACTCTCTCTTTGCTCAAGCCTTGGCATTAAAATATTTTGAGAAAACTAATGGACTGGAAAAGAACATCATTTGAGGTAAAGCAGAGAAAAATATGGGAGAAACTCATCAACTGTTCAGATAAGAAATCACTGGTTGAGAAAACATGTTATTTCTGGAATCACAAGCATACTCTTTATTGTTAAATAAAGTTTAAATAACCTTGAAATCAGTTGTGTGGATCTTACGCTTACTATATTTCCAATCTGCTTTTACTTCAGAATTTCGCATTTGTAATTTTACCTTTTGCTATTTCTAAATAATTAGCTGTTTTTATTATTATTTTTTAAAATTGATTAAATGTGATTTAAAGGTATAACTGTACAAGCTTGTTTTATTTTTGTAAAATAGTTTTCAGAAGTTTTATTTAAGGATGCAGATCGTCCAGGTGGGTCTTCAGACTGAACTGGACAGGAACAAAAATCACCTGGACTTGCACCCTAAATGATCTTTAAGTTATCAAATAAGACTATTCTATTTTCTAATAATAGCACATTAAAAGTATCTGACAAATTGCCTCCCTTTTGTGTGCATTCCTCATAATGTTTCTAAATTGATCATTTTCTCTTCTTTATAGAGTAATAAGAACATTTAGTGTTGAAAATAAAAAAAAATATATATATATTAAGATGTGGAAAAATGGTACCATTTGTATAAAACCAACCATTTTTCAAACAGCTGTTTTTGCACTATATATGTTACAGTTAAGCTCAAAATGATTCTTAACTCAAAACAAAGTTAGATTTAAATCTCGTAATAAATTAGGGTGATGGCAAACAATGATAATGGGATTTTCTATATAGTTAAGCCCAATATCAGTAATACCTTTGTCAGATCAATTTAATTCAATTCATTTAATGTTCAGTATTAGAAAAATGATATTAAATGAAATGAAATGGGCATTTCTCAAGAGATAAACCAAAACAAAAAGGGTAGAGAAAACTGATATTCTTTAGAACTGAACGTACATCGTCGCTAGCTATGCATTTTAGCTGCACAGCTAACTGATTAGCGACCTGAGTGCAGCTGGTATAAAATCACAGACTGACAGGCATTATGTCATCTATCTAATCCTAAACAAAGATACCAACAACATGAGAATGTCAAGATCAAACACTTGGAATTGGATTGGGTTCTCCATAATTTACAGCTGCTTGGTGTAAGCCACACTGCAAAAACACAGAATCTTACCAAGCTTTCCAGTGCAAATTTCTTAGCAGACTTGAAATAAGACAGAACTAACTAACTTCTCAGCAAGATAATAGGAGCTTGTTTTAGGTAAATAATTCCTTTAATATTGATTTAAAAATACATTCTAGTTCCACTGGCAGATTATTCCTCTTATAGCAAGACATTTAATAGCAAGAACATGTAAGATAAATAGTTGTTTTCTTAATATTAATGGATTATTTACCTACACAAGCTCCTACATCTTTTTGAAAAGTTACTTCTACGTGNACTAAGATATTTGCCCCACNAACCAGACTAAAAATACTTGATAAGATTTTGTGCTTTTTACAGTGTAGGTGTAATTAAAATTGCACAGACAAGTTCTTTGTGACAAAGGTGAACAACTTGAAACTGGAGCTTTGGTTTAGATGAGTTTATATTCCTGAGTAAAACCTCAAACAGCGACCAGAAGCTTTATTGTCGAATATTTGGAGGAATACTTTGAAAAAACTAGCATAATAGTAAAATATGCAAACATAAGTACATTATGCCAGTGTCTTTCAAGAACATGTTTGTTTGTTTGTTTGTTGTGTCTCTCTTTGATGCTGTGCATGCAGGTAGCATCTGTTTTCATAGGAACGTTGCGGTGATATTTCAAACCGCCATCCATTTGCCAGATGCATCAAGTGGAGGAGTTTCTAAATTCAACATGGCACCATGAGGGAAAAAGAAGCCAAATTACACATAATAGAATAAACATGAGCCAAGACAGCCTCCGTGTTCTGCTGCACCTTAGTGTTGCATTATATCCTCTCTGCATCTCCACTGAGAGTCAGAAAGCAGAGCTCCACCATGCTTCTAGTTGCTATCAAGTTGCTGCAAGAGATAATCATTGCTAATTTATCATTCTGACATGCTAACAGGGAGGGGAGAAACCAAACCGAGGGATAATAGCATCTACCTCGCAGGCATGTTTTTTTTCCTTCTGATGCAGTTTTCAGCTTCTCCCTGTGGGATTTTTTATGCCAATAATGAGTAAATAATTATTTTTGCATCCTTGTTTCCTGATCCAATCAGGTTTGTTTTTTTTCGTTTTTCATGCTGGTTATTTTGTCCTTTCCTTTTGCTGACCTGCACAGCCTCCCGCCCGGTGGAGAACCAGCTGTGCACGGGTCCGATCCCAAACAGATCCCAGCTCTGCCAGATCCCCTGTCCCATCGACTGCGAGGTGTCACCGTGGGGGGCCTGGGGTCCGTGCATCTTTGAGAACTGCAACGATCAGACCGGAAGGAAAGGTAAAAAGATCAACTTTAAAGGGTCAGAATTATGTGAAATTGACGTTTTTGAGCTTTATATTGTGTTATTATGTTATTCCCTCATCAAAAACTTACCTGGAGTGTTGCTTTGATTCGTTCATGTATGTTTGAGAAATCCTTTAATCTCCATGGCAACTATTCAGCTGCACAAAGCGCCTGGGTGAATTTAATATTTTAAGATAATGTCATCAAACAGACAAAATATTAAGTTATGTGCAAATTCTGGCATTTTAAAAACTGAAATAAAGAAAATGACCACAAATAAGTGCAAAACAACACATTCAGGCAAAAGAAACACTTTTTATTATATTAAACTCAACATGTGCTTCCAGTGACAATATTTATTTATATATCTTATAGATTTTATCGCTTACGGTTATATTTGCATTATTAATATTTAACATCTAGAATGGAGTAGTTGTCAAGTAATAAGCATTTCCTCCTTGGGGATCAATAAAGTAAATTCTATTCTATTCCAATATTTATTGCATATTATTACCCTCTAAATGGCACAACAGGTTCAGCAGATAGAAAATAACATGAGAACAACAAAGCTGGTGTGAAAAACTGAGATCTTTCACACACATATGTTTGTGTCTCATATGTTTTTGGTAAAATATGTTTGTTTTTCATTGAGTTGAAAAACAAACATTTAATTAATATGTTTTCTGCACATCCAGAAATTTCTGAAACATTTCTGGATATGCAGAAATTTTACTCAAGTAAGTGTAGCAGTAATTCACAATAATATTACTAATTTAAAAGTAAATAGTACAGCTCAGTTAAAATACTACTTAAAGTTGTTACTCTAGTAAATGTAATTGAATAAATATTACGGCTGGCAGACAAATGTATCATGATGTAAGTGTTTTATACCAGTCCATATCGATAATTATAGATTAGTTTTTTGTTTCAAATTTCTGAAATACTGCCAAACTGGATGTGTGACCTTATCCAGTTTTCACTCTACGCTGTTGTTTTTCTTTTAATTTTTAAGTAGTTATGAGGCAAAGTGGGGAAACTTTAAACTGCTGCTGTGCCAGTTACTCAGCAGGTCGTTGCTAGGTAACCAAAGAGTGAGTGAGTTGCTAGGTAACCATAGAATGAGTGAGAGTTGATTCCACCAACTTTGCTTGGCTGGCTGTGAAAGGTTGAGCTGAGCAGCTAAAGTCTTTCCTCTGTCTACATCTCCCAGAATGCTGTGCGGTTCTGGATCAGAATTCTGTGAATATTCTATCCTAATTTATTTTGATTACACGTCTATCGTGATTTATATTGTCACTGATTTATGCTTATATTGATGATGGACTGTATTCAAACCAATGGAAGGATGTATTTTGAAGTCTTTTTGGGTTGTTTTTTTTTTTTTACTCATAGGCTTCAAACTGAGGAAACGACAGATTACCAACGAACCAACCGGGGGCCCAGGAAGCTGCCCTCACCTAGTAGAGGCCATGCCATGTGATGAACCCAGCTGCTACAAATGGCAGCTGGTCAGCCTGGACAGGTGTATTCCTGATGACGGGAAGCAGTGCGGCCCTGGAACTCAGCTGCCTCAAGTTCAATGCATCAGCAGTAACGGTGAGCGGAGGCAATATGATCTCATTGTCCGATCGGATAATGGGATTTTTGCAGAGTGATGAGATGCTGCGCAGATGGCAATGATGCTTTATTATGCTGTGTGTTTTCAAAACTGTGAGTCATTTGTTCAAATTAAGCACATCGTTCTTGGAGACGGCGCTTCATGATTGACATCATCAAGCGAACAAGCTCTGATTTGCCCATCCCTGTGCTGCGGTGATTTTTTTTAATCCACCTCCATTTGTCAAATTAAAAAAAGTGACACACAGGCTAGGCTTCGCAAGAAAAACACCATATTTCTGAAGGTCACCTATCTGCTGACCCTCCGGCTTTTGGTGGACATTGACGTACGTGAGGAGATTTCCATTACACAACTCCTCTTCCCGTCATCCTTCCTCCCTCTCTTTTTTTTTAAACCTCTCCTGCTTTAACGCTTGCTTGATTCAGCTTTGCCACCCGTCCCCCTGCTGTCTGTCTCATTACAGTTTCCTCTCTGCACGCACAATTAAACCTCCCTCTCAGTATATCAAATCAGTCCTCAGAAACTCTGGGAGTTGGAGAAACTTCCACTCTTTGCTGCTTTACATTATTACTGCTTTCCTCTATTACTCCTTATATCTAAAGGTAATGTAATTAGCTCTGCGATAGCATAAGCTGCTTTTCCATTATAAATACATACAAAATGTTGAAATTTTGCTCATAAAAAAATAAATAAAAACAATTTAACAGTTGCCGTGTTTCCATTAAATAAGAAACGCATTTAAATCACACATGAATAAGTTTTTCCACTCGATAAATCATGAAAGAACATGCAGCGCCCTCATCCTTCAACCACTTCCTGTTGCCTTCTTTGTTGTTTGCGCCAGTGGCAACACCTGTTTGTTGGTCATGTGACTCTTATGATCCAAAAAAGTGTTTCCATTTCACTAATTTTGATACAACCAAAAAATCAATTCATCCTAATAAAATGTTTATTGAAAAATTAGATTTTTTTCGAAATTGGCATTGATTTCAAAACGCCTTAATTACCTGTCTAAATGTGTTGTTCTTTCAGCAAATTGCATGCTTTTGAGTCTATATACTCTAGTTAATAATTAATCAATTACTAAATTAGTTGACGATTATTTAAATAATCGATTAATCACAGTTAATTCGATTAATTCGATTGATCGTTTCAGCCCTAATCCTGACTAGTGCATTTTACTATTGGAGAATATGAACAAATTGTGCAACAACTTTTGAATATCAAATAAACAAATGAACTATTGCACTTTATTGGAAGTTCCAGACAAATCACACACTTCACACAGCATTCAGACGGTTGTATTTTAATGAGTGGAGCGGATAGTGTGGGCGGTTTCATTAGTTTTAATGTGGTATTTGGAGTTCAGAGTGCTGTACGTTTGCTTCAGGCTCTTATCTTGATGGTTGTGTTTCAGTTCACCTGCCGCATCGATGCTGATGAGAAACTAGACGCATTTTAAACAGCTTAAGGCATAAAGCCTCGAATTGTTTTGGCTGTCCTGAGTTTAACTCTTCTGTTTGATAGAAGGGGCTGCAGGGATACATGAATAACAAATAACAACAGCACAAGAGTGTATCTTCAATTTCCTGCCTCTACTGACATCACTATATGAGAAAATCGTGCAAAAAATATAATTCAACAGCACAAAGTTTGATCGTCAATAGGATTTTTCTCTCTTCGCTATGAAACAAAAGAACAGACTGGTTGATATATAAACTAGTGGGCTGCCAGTTGTGCCTACGGTAAAAATGCATTTTTTAAAAAAAATCTTATGATCATATTTAATTGGGAAAATCTTTAAAAGTATAGATGATTTAGAAAATCAATTTCAATTGGTTTAATAACCATAGTGATTAGGACTGAAACGATAAATCAGTTTAATCGTGATTAATTGATAATTGAAATACTTGTTAACTGGATAATATAGACTCAAAAAAAGCAACTGCTGAAAGAATAACAGTAATTCAGCCACAGCTGTACATAATATAAATAAATTTTATATTTAAGACAAAAACGCCATGGTCTATAAAAATGTTTGACCCAAAATGGAGTTTAACTTCAGTAAAGACATGTTAATGTCTGTAGAAAATATAAAATTTGAGTGTGTAGTCATAAGAATTGAGCAACAATTTTTAGAGAGCAGATTATATGTGAAGTTACATTTCAAAGTAAGAGGAACAAATAAAAAAAGGAAGCTACTGGGAAGAGCAGTATTAATCTCAAAACCATAGTATTATCATTAGTACTATCATTAACCATGAAATTAACACAAATGTTACTTTTAAAAGAGTAAAAATAGGAATCAGAATATTATCATGGTAATTAATAAAGCAGGCAGCTGTTGGCTGTCAGGTTAATTACAAATCTCATCTACATAAATATTAATTATATGCTCAAACGCAGTTACTTATAAATAAATCTAAGCAGTTTATGTATAAAATGTTGGTGTTCTGTACAGTTTTACCTGTAGAAACTTGTTTTTTTTTTCTTCTTCTTTCTGTGTGACTTCAGCTGATTGATCTCCTTCACATCTGATGAGAATTGATTTGTTCTCTTTGGATTTTCGATCTGCTTTTCGCCTCGGTGATTTTTCACTGCGACGTTGCGGCCGCATGTTGTGTTTTTTTGTTGTTGTTTTTTTTCTCTGAGTGTGTACCAGTCATAAACCCCCCCCAGAAAAGGCCACCCAGCCAGACCCCAGACAGCAGGCGAAAGTCGATACAAATGTTATTGAAACTGGCTATTGATATTCCCAAAGCTGACTGCTTGGCCACTTAGTCGGGGAGCTTTTTCTTCTCTGCATACAGAGCGTTGAGGTTTCTCCCCTCATAGTGGGTGGTTCTGTTCATTCATGCGTCTTTGTCTGAGCCTGAGAAATACGCAGGTCCCTTGTCGTCTCTTATTTTCATGCTTTTCCGTTTCAGTCATGATGAGTTCACTGCATCTCAGTCAAAGTGACATCTCAATATAAAGTCAGCTGCAGTGAGGGTTTTGGTTTTGGTTCAATTCAGTCATGGAAAGGTTTGCATATTTTTTTAAGGGTATACATATCGCTTAACCACTTGATTTATGGCAGAGCATCAAGCAACTCACTCAGATATGTGGGTTAATATAATCCACTTATAGTGGCTACTAAGAGCTCATCAATAAAACATGAACAATAGCGATGAAACACAGGAATCCTATGTGAATTTGCGCCTTTCATGTGAAGTGCCCCCATTTTCATGGAGATTTCTTGGAGCTAAAGATCCACCACAATGAATATTTTATCAAGAATTCATAATAAAATACTGTATTCATGCTAAAGTGAAAGAAAATATTCTTTATCACTGGATGACAGCAGAAACAACACTAGATAGATATTTCTATCTAGTGTGGCCCCCGAGCCACACTTTTGCCACCTTAGATCTGCTGTATTTGTAAAAATCAATGGACCAAATACATTCTTTGGTTGCTTTAGTTTTATGAGTCTTTACAACTCCATATTTTCCTGTTTCTGCACTGCAAAAACAGAAAATCTTACCAACTAATTTCAGCCTGGTTTCCAGACATTAAATTATATCCTCAAATCTTTCATTAAACATTATTTCCATGTATTATCCATTAATATTTTCTGTTTTTAATATCCTCATCTGAGACATTTGAACTCTTGGAATAAGAAAACTTAGCAGTCAAATAAAAATAACTGACTAAATTTATGACCTATAAACTTTATTTTCTGAGGTACCAATAATACAATGAGTTATGTAAGATTTTTCATTATTTTAATACTGACCCACTCAATAACTGTATCTCAATACATCTGTGTAATCTCCATAGATTATCCTCTTTGTTACAAATCCACTCTTATGGATTTCTTTTTTTTCACTGATTCATAGAGAAAAGAATCAGATTAACCCAAATCCTGCATATCAGATGCAAATGTATACATTCAAGAGATTAAATTTACTGTAGATTCTGCAGGAAATGTTCAGTCAATAATATATTGTAAATCTTTTTAACATCTGTTTAATGATTATGTATCTCAAGTTGTCAAATTGGAGATTTCTGAACTGCTGAGTAGTTGTGCACTGTATTCATATGGAGGTCTAAGCCTCCAATGTAAGATGAATTAAATCTGGAAAAAAATGTCAGATTAAACAGAAAACAGGGGTATCTGCTGACCTTGTTTCTTGTACATTTTCATCCTGAACAACTAGTGCTACCTTAGTGTCTATGTTTTAAATGAGGGGTGTTTTAATTGATTTGATATTTAAATTTTTCTCTAAACGCAACCAAACACTCATTCAAATGCAACTTTGCAAACCAAAGAGGTCAACTACCCCGCAGCTCACATTTACAAAATCTTTTTTTTTGTCCATCAACTCAGCTATTTTTGTGCAGCAAAGTGTTTTGTTTGGATAATGTGGTTGGCTAAAGGAGTCAACATTTTGACTGTTAAACTTTCACTAGTGTCTTTTGAGCAAAAGCAGCACAAACAAAACTTTTTACTGCAAAAATGTAGTTGAGTTGATTGACACCAAATTTGTCTGACATAACAAGTTGGGGTGTGGGTTTGGTTAACCTTTCATGACCTCTGGTAACTTTTAACTCATTAATATCTTTAAAATGACAGCAGCACAAACAAAAAGATGTAGCACAAATGTTTGACGCCAATCTTGTTAGATTTAGCAACATCAGAGAGCAAGTTGTGGACTAATTTTCCTCAGTGTCTTCTAGATATAGTTTGCTGAATAGTGGCCCAAGCTGCTGTTTGACACTAATTTCTTTTTTTTCTTTTTTTTATTACTTTGCACTAAAACTCAAAAGATGACTCCTCACTTTTAAGAGAAATTGCGGTTTTAATTACACTTTACACACCACCTCATTAATACAGAGAATTGAAGGAGCCATATTGTCATAATTACCAAACATTTACACAGACTTAGGGTAATGTTGCTACAATTAATTTGTTTTTCCTTATCTCCCGAATGTAGCCGTTGATATTTCTTACCTGAAAAGCCAGATGGCAGCTTGTAAGTTGTAGAGTCTATTGGGAAATAAATCGCCCACAAGAGGAAATTAAAAGGAAAGCCACCTGTCTTTAATTTAAGCACAAATTAGTTTTTCATCCATTTCTTTCATGTTAGGTAAACTCAAATGACTCCATGGTCTGACTCACAGATGGGAGCTGATTTAAGTGGAAGCACTTTACATTTTAAGTCCATGTTTTCACTCCAAACAACTTCATATATTGGCGATAAATTGTGTTCTCCTGTTTATTTTTTACAGCAAATAACCCCAAAACAAACAGCCTTTATAAGCTTTTAGTTTTCAGCATAGAAAAATGGACAACATCCAAATACACTTGAAGTGTAATAGACTTAAGAGTGGAGATATTTGCTGAACAGGTCAAAAAGGTTTTTTTTCTTCTTCTCAAATGAGACCTATTATGCTAAATTTTATATCTCCATTTGTATTTCTACTGCTTATAAAAATACTACCAAGCACTTAAAGAAAACACCCAACTGTTTTTTGTCACTTGGATAATATTTTTTGATGCCTGGAAAATTAGCCATTTTAAAAAGCTCCAGATTAAGTCACATTCTGCAGGCACTGCCCGTTACCTAGCAACACCGGCGAGCCCAGCCCGTTACCTAGCAACCCAAATGGAGCTCCAGCATGTTTGGTCAGCTGATTTTGTAAGCGCTGTACAACGGCTACTGGAAAAGACAACGGCTTTGTTGTTAATTTCCCATTCAGAAGCGAATTGCTGCTTTATGTTGCAGCCATTTTTAAGTTCGAGTGTAAACGTTGAGTTGGAGGGCGTGGATATCAGAGGTTTATTTGGGTTTAAAGTGCCAGACACCCTAAAACGGCTCATTCTAATTGGAACTCAGAATAAAATTTAATTATCTTAGAATGATTTTCTGCAAAAAATGTAACATGTTTTGTGTAGCCCATAAACCTGTTCTTACCTGTTCAAGAATGTTTAATATGTACCTTTAGCGAGAAGATTCAACTAATTAATAAACCAGCGCTGTTCTAAAGGTTCCCAGCCAGAAGGCACAGTTTATGTCAATCTACATTTTTGTAGTAAATTGTAATTACTGTTGTAACATGGCTGGTTCTGACCCGGTTGTGTCTGGTTTTCCTCCAGGGGAGCTGGTGGACAGAGGCCTGTGCTCCTCCTCGGCCGTCTTGGAGCCCGTTTCCTGTGAGGTGCCCTGTGCCAGAGACTGCGTGCTCAGCGACTGGACGCCGTGGTCGACCTGCTCCCAGACCTGCTCCAGCAAAACCGTGGAGGGCAAGCAAATGAGGACCCGCTCCATTCTGGCCTACAACGCCGGGGAAGGTGAGTCCGCTATGAGAAAACATTCAGATGTCGCCTTTTCCAGTCGTCCTCTGCTGTCAGCCACAGAGTGTCTGATTTCACACTTGTCTGCCTTTGCGTTTGTCCTTATCTCACAGTCTGCTTATCTGTCCTGATGATTATTTCTGTTGGTCTGTCTCCTCGCCTGACGCTCACTTTTTATCTCGCTGTCGGATCTTTTCTCGTTCTTTGGAGTTTGAACCTGTGTGTGTTCTCCTTTTTGTTTTCTCTCCTCTCATCTGGGTGTGCGTTCTGCTCAGTCACTGCGATGGTTGTGGCGTGGATCACAGTGATGGAGGGTAACGGTTCTAATTAAAGATTCCTGGTAGCTATTTTAAACCTCTAGCTATGTGTTTGCATAAAATAGTCGGCTTGTTTGGAGCTCAGAAGAAATGTTGTCCTTTTAGGCCCCTTTAGGGGGAACTTATAATTGATTTTGAATTAATTCAGCTTGTTGCTGCCTAATTCAGTCAGGCCTTGTTGGTCTTGTGTGAAATAGCCTTACTGTTGTTCTGCTGCTGTAGTATTAGTTTATTCGGCCCTAACCTGCCATAATAACATTTAAAATCTGTTTTTTATCAAGGTCTGTCACGGGTGCCCCAGTTCCCAGAACTTTACGGTAATATTTGACTCCTATTAGACTAGATGTAGCTTTTAGAGGGACTATGACTTCATTAAATAACTGTCTCTAATCTTTGTGAATATACATACTTAAGAACAATAACTAAAAGAATCCCTTTCTATCTGCATAGCAGATTATCTGATTAGATTTCAAGATCCCTGGCTGATTTTGCAGCTTGTCTGTTGCATATTAATAAAGGAGAAACTTGTTGGAACTGCAGGAACCACTCAAAGCGTAAGACGCAGGGATCATATTAATATGCAGCCACCCATGTTTGCACGGGACTCTGTGTTAATTAGTGCATTAATAAGCAAATTAATGACCTAATTAGCATAACTGCCTATTCTGTGGTGATTATGGAGGGACTTTGGAAAGCCCTAAGTGCTTCTCACTGTTTGACACCCATCAGGATGAATGATGCTCAAGATTCATGTTAAGAAGCCATTTGTGAATGAGACGCAAAAAGTAATTATTCTTGGAAGCATTTGCCATTTGCGACAAAGAAATGCAATAAGAAAGAGCAACATTTTGACTAGTCGTGTCTAAAAAACAAATACGAGATAAACTTGTTTGAGTGATTGATCATCAGGAAACTTAAAGGAGAGGCAAAATTCTGATTTTGCACATTTGTACTTCCATTTGGGTTTCTACTGCTTCTAAAACCAGCCCAACTGCTCAAAATAACTAACAAAAAACCCCAAAAACAAATAAACAGCCAAATAAACATTTTTTTTGGCAATCATTTCCTGTTTTTTGGTGTCTGGAAAATAAGTAGTTGTCAAAAATCAGCAGGCACTGTCAGTTACCTAGCAACCCCAGCAAAGCCCAGCCGGGTACATAACAACCCAAACTGAACTCCAGCACGTATGGTCAGCTGGTATGTGCTGTGGCTGCTGGAAAAGACATGTTTTGTTGTTGACTTGCCATCCATAAACCACTTCCCGAATTCTTGTCGGTTGTGCAGAAGGATCCACTTCTGCTTTTCCAAGATGTACGGATGTATAATATCACATCTGTTTGCAACCATTTTCACGTGCGAGTGTAAACATTGAGTTGGGAGGCCAGTAGCTTATATGGATTTAAAGTGACAAGAGGCTTTAAAAGAGCTCATTTTGGTTGGAGCTCAGAACATAGTCTCATTATCTACGAAGTATTTTCTCAAAAAAGATGTAAGGAACATGCTTTTTGTAGCTCATAGGCCATATATGTCAAACTTGAGGCTCAGGAGCCAAATCTGGCCCGCCATAAAGTTTTTGTAACCCAGAGGGCCATGTGAATAGAACCTTGAAAATAACCCTTAAATAATATTTCATCAATCAAATGAAAGAGTTTTCAACTTAAGAGGATTA